AAAGGTAGGTACCTAAATCAAATCATTGATATAGTAGGTACTGGAACATGAAATATTCATTATTTGTTTCAGGAGGTTATTGATAACACAAAATGATGATATCATCAGAGCAGAGATATTTTATTCCAAGATATTTTGGCTTCTTCGGAAATTATGAAAGATTGTACATAATGCAGACTTGAACTTTCAGTAGATTCAATAATGGTTGGTACCTTACTACATAAATCATATCATTGATAGTGAGTACTGGACATGAAATATTAATACATTGTTTGTTTCAGATAGTTTTGCTTCTTAAGAATCTATAAAATATTGCATGAAGGCTTCAACTTCCAGTTGATTCTGCATCAGGAATGTCTCCAGAGTTCAGAAATCAAAAAAAAACATGGAGAAATATAACTACCAATAGGCAATAACTTCTAGTAGTGCTCAACAAGAAGCTGAAATACATTTCTTCAAAAAGGAAATTGACATTTTTCAGAATAAGTCATAACTAATAGAATGTAAGTTTTTCATTTGGTTTTTCATTTGAACCTATTATAAATAGAGGGAAATTTTGCAAATATCATGAGATCCATATTATTTTGAAGAAATTATCATTTGCATAATACAAGGTGAGTCAATAGTGTGTTATCCTTGTATATTAGCCAAACCATCAGATAAATAGAGAAAATTCAAGTACAACAGTAATAGGGTTTCATGAGAACTTTCACATTAAATTGTTTCCATATCTGTATAGGGTGATTGAATTCCAAGATATATTGACTGATGATTGTTTTTCTTCCAAATGGGTCACCCTGTATACTATTGCATTTTTAGGTTCTCCCTGAAGAGCTGATTTCATCAATGCATCACACTTTGGGTCTAGCGGGAATGATTACAGAGATATAGGGTGTTCAAAAACAAGATTTTTCAATTTTAGGATTTTTTTTGTGGAAACTATTCAATATTGGTCAAAACGGCTCACATTTCCTTACGAACTTTTGATTTACTATCTAATGACATTCAATCGGAACAAATAGAGGGTGGTTCAACATTCAGAATACTGATCAGCTTATTGTATCTGTATCAAATAAATATCAGTAGATAGCTAATCAAAAGTTAAGAGAGGGACATGTGAGCCGTTTTGACCATTCATGAATAGTTTCGACACAAAAAATCCTGCATTTGAAGAATCTCGATTGTCAACACCCTATATCTCTGTAATAATTCCCACTAGACACCAAGTGTGATGCATTGATGAAATCAACTCTTCAGGGAAAACTCAAGAATGTAATAATATACAAGGTGTTCCATTGAAAACAACCAATCATCAACCGATATCTCGGAATTCGAACACCCTATAGATATGAAAACAACTTTAGGTGATTGTTCTTATGAAACCCTATTACTGTTGTACTTGAATTTTCATTTTATATATCTGACGGTTTGGCTAATATCGGAGGAGAACACACTAGTGACTCATTCTGTATACGAATAATATTCTCCCATAAATCTTGAACCTCCTTGAAACATCATCAAAAACCGCCTCAAGTTGTTACTATGATGTCCTGAGGTTGTCTCAAAAGATTTTATAGGGATGTTCTGAGACGTTATTAGTATGTAGAGAATGGTAACAGGAGGATGTCTTAAGAATGTCCTCTGGCTCGCTCTCGACGTCCTGAGGACATTATTGTGAACGCCTCAGAAGGGTCTCAAAAGGAATTTGTGCTATCTGGGCCAGTATCTGATATTGAACAAAATCTCATGAGCACCAGCGTGATGAAGTTTGAGGTGTTCCTTCCGCAGTGAAAGTGTAGTTATGTGGTTTTCCTTTGAAATAAGAATAGAGTTTTCTTGTTCAGATGTTATATCTGCATGTGCCAAACGTCCGCCAACTCTATATAGACCAAAATCATCATTGAATGGATTGAATGGAGCTAATGCTTTATTATCAATAGTTATTCCGCATTTGATTTGCTCAATTTCTAACGAGAGACATTGATCTTGAACAGTTTTTATGGTTACTATTAACAATTTTTTATTTCATCGACAGTTCATGATCTATATTTTTTCTTAGAATTAGGTTCAATCGTGCAATCGATACAAACAGATATCTCGAAAGTTGATAAGTGGGGGATATTTTTGATGAGATCATTCCATTCACTCAATAACTATGGATTCAGTTCATCGTTCCAATTCAGTTCACATAACCATATTTCCTGCATTATCATTTCTGCAATAACAATAACAGGGCCAATGGATCCTAGATAATCAAATAACCGTGCAATCTTAGACAAGGTAGATCTTTAAGTAAAAGAATTCAAATCATTTGGAGTTTGTTTCAGAATTCATCATATCAGCTATGGACGCTTTGCATTGAGCGTATAAATTTTCGTTATTGTGTAGTCTTTTTCCTGATTATTTGAAGCGCTCACTAGCCTGTGAGAATGGATCACACAGCTTCAAATAATTATGTGATATTCTGAACAGTGAATCTACTCAAAATGTTTCATTTCCAACTATTTCAGTTATTTTGGGAAATGAAAATTCTGTAATTCTATTTGAAACCATTTCTAATTACCAAAAATACCCCTACTCACATTACAGTTCCATAATGTGAGTAGTATTGATAATGCTTGTTTCATTTTAGATCGGTGTTCGGAATAATTATTGAATCAGATTATATTTGAATCAAGAAATGACGGCTCCAAAACATTGGTTCCCCTCACTTCCAACACTCACGCTTTACGAAATGGATCAGAGAACATCTCTTTAAAATCCATCAGTCTCGGAATCAGAGGAAAATTTCTGATAAAGAGGCTTCAAATGAATCGATACATTATGTTGTGTGAGTACCAAGGTTAGTATATCATCAAAAATGTATTGATTCTGTAATCATACCTACATTAGTTTGATAATGTGAATCTGGAAAAAATCTTGCGTTTTATTTGAGACAGTTTCCTTGAATCATCATCATAACAAAATATATTTAGTTGCAGAAATGACGGTGATACTTCCAACACCGAGTCTACGAAATCATTCAGAGAAAACTATTCGATCTTATGTCATAATGCAGTATTGTTCAATATCAAAATCTTTTGTAATAATACGTTCGTTAGCTTCATGATTTGAATATCATGATTGAAATGATGACATATCATGTCATTCCTAGAATCAAAGTATGATGAATTTACGATGACATTTGTCATTATATCAAAAAAATTTGATTTAGTTTTGATATAGATTTCTATTACTCGACATATTTTTCAATACGTTCATGAAAAATACGGCATGATAGGATAATTCCAAGATGTCAACATGATGTTCATGGAAAATTTTTGCTGGACGAATATCATAATATATCTGATAATCATCTGATTCGATACATCATCTCAAACCTAGGGTGAAAGTGAGCTATTAGTCAGCAACACTTCTATATCAAGAGGCGCATTCTCACTCGAGGTATCAATAGCACTTTTTCCAGTAATAACATTCCAAAATCAATATTTTTCATTAATTCAGATCTTCAATATTGGAGTGTACATTCAGCATTATTCAGCATATTACGGAAATATTGATATATCAAGTATGGCCTAGGAGAACATTTGTCGGAAAATTGAAAGGAAATTCGAATGGGCTGTCAGGAAAGAACGCTGTATCGAAATTCCAGGTGGAATTGTGAATCACTACAAAACTGAATGCGAATTCAAGAGATGTTCATTTTGATAGAAAGCTTGTATCCTGCCTGCATGAAGTGAGGAAGAATACTGATGAATATATTGCGAGTAGATATTGAAAATACAGTATTCATCGATATGTTTCGAAATATTCAAACCTCATGAATATCGCAAAATCAATGAGGTGTTTCAAGCAATATGTCCGAGAGTCATGGTTATTTGAATTCTTGGTAGACTTTCACATATTATTATGTCAGTGACAGCGCACGTATGATTCGTGTTGTGAATTTTTTATCAGAATGAATGATTCCCATATTATTCCAAACATTTTTCATTCTTCGAAAGTTGCTTTCAGCTGTGATGAGAATGGAAGTTCCAACTATATTTGGTTCTAAGGATGTATAATTCTCGTTGATGGTTATATACGCATCGGTATCTGTGTGTATAATGCATGATATCTCTGCCATATTGATTGTTTATTTCTACCAACGTAAAATTTCTCCATCAATTCATCATTATTCACCTAGGTTCAAAAAGTGTAACTTTTCATTAAAGGAAATATTGGATTAATGGTTATTTCTCAGGTTTGATAGTAGTGGAAAAACCATCTCATTTCAGGTATGCGTTTTCAATCTATCAATTGATGTATATCATGGTATGTTCGTTGATCGTCTAATATAACACGTTATTGTAAAGAAGCATATCAGACTATACTGAATTGACGTTCATACGATGCGAAGGGTTGACACTTATCGCCTCAGAGGATACGTATATTGGATACGTATTATTGATGTTGACCATGATATTTCATGATACGTAACATTGATATTTGATTGAAATTTTCGTGAAAGAAGTGTTTACCAGGTACTTCCTCTATCAGAAATGGCCCAGATGCGGACATACTTTCGAAACGAATAGTGTATGTCTGGATGGAGCTTATCATTTCAGACAGACTCTTCCTCTCTTTGGCATTTTTCAGAGAAACTATGTTTAATTCTAGATTTAATAATGACATCGCGACAATAATAATTGCTATGAGAGAAAGGAAATTGTTCATTTTGTTCAGACCGCCGGAATATTATTATCAAATCATACTAATAGAATAGAATCAATATGATTATAGTGGCAAATTGAGAATGATAATCGAGTTAGTGCTTATGAAACACAATCAATCAATTCAGCCAAAAAAAATGGATTGAAATTATCAAAAGTGATATTTGATTTCACTGAAAACATAATGGCCGATTTCTGAATGGATTCAAAGCTCTCATATAGCTCTTCACTGAGTGTGAACCATCCATTATATTATCCAAACCATAATATCGAGCATCAATACCATACCTGACATTTCCTTGCATTCTAGAAAATCCAGTACCCTTCGTCGCGTCATTGAGATCCACGCTCACTGCATAACCTTGTGATTTAGCAACGTCCAAAAAGTCTTGATGAATAGGCGGCTCCCAGCCATAACTCTCAATGGTGAGTGGACCGTTAGTCCCATGGAATGCAGGATCTAAGTTTCGTTTCTCTGTGGACAATATGAGCTTTGTAACCTAGCTCCACAAAACAACACGCCATTCCACAATGATACCGTGATTTTCCAGTAGACAGTGTATGATATATCAAGAGAGGAGAACTTATAATAATGAAGCAGTGGATGCAAAGTTGAAATTGAACGTGTGATCACTTGCTTTCGCAACCAATATGAAGAACATCATGATTTTCTATACTCACCCATTTCTGTGTTATTTTCTGATCGTTTGAAGAATGGTAGGACGTCTTTGTAGCCCCAACCCTTGTTGCCCATTGCTTCCCACTCATCGTAGTCCCTGGGAAGACCTCTCAAGTAGCTACCTGTTATTGTTGTAGAACCACCAACAACTTTTGGTCTGAAGTAGGAACACCTCTTATCAGGAAAACCTATATAAGATCCAAATTCCAAATGAAATCCTTTAACCTAGCTCGATAATACTGGGGAAAGTATTTCCTTTTGAAGGATGTATGAAACATTCTCATGTGAATCCTGTAGCTTCAATTAAAATCGAAAAGAGTTCAACTGATTCAGAGGCGCGAAAACATAGGTTGCATTTTCCGCTTTCTAGGAATATGTTGCACGCTACCAGATATTTCGGAGATGATCAGTAATTCACTCAATCGAAAACACAATTTCATTGAAGAAAGTTTTTGTCAAGAAGGAGCAGCGTTTGATTCATGCGCAGCTTAATTTTATTGTTCATCCGTGCATGATGAAGGATATATTGGCCTTCTGCAGTAATTTGGAATATGTTTCGTTTTTCTCAAATAGAAATTCAACAGGATAGAACTAATTGAACTAGTTTCGTCAGATTCATTCTTGTGCTCTCATTAAACTTTGCGAAAATATGGTTTCGGATTCGTTCGTGTTTTTTGTCCATTTTGTTCACACTATATGGGGTCGCCGAATACAAATCCTTGACCAAAGTTGTATTGAAAAACCTGGGGTCTCGACTTATAACTTACCGTTGGGCGTATGTGGGGAGTAACTGTTATTGAAGAAAAAACTGGGCGGACGGCCTTGACGATCGTTTAGGGTGGATATGACGCAAAGTGGTGGGGTATGTTTTCGTCAAGGAATTTCAATATACAACAATCAGCAGTTGATGTTCGTTATTTTGTTTATTCAACTTATCATTCATAAGAGCTCGAACTTACTTAATCGCCGAATATTTTCGTTGGATTCGTGGCCAATCACTATCGCGTCTTGAAGGTGAAGAGCATGCTTGTATCATAAATTATTGGTTGAAGTTCTCGAAGAATCTCAATGCAATGCGAAATATTCAGATTCAATCATTGCCGAACAATTTGATTGGATAAACAGGGCGAATGAAACAGTCGTAAACTGTCGGCCAAAAGATCATAAGTCATAGTAGCTATACATATACCTTACGTTCGGCATACAGTGCATTCTGCAGGTATTGGGTATAGTAGTCAATTTGCCAATTTTCACGATGATATTATGGATGCAGAGGAAGTTATGCCAAGAATTACCTTCAAGTATTAGCATCGTGCGCTACGGTGCCGCTACTGAAACAGAGTTCACGCATAGGGGGTTCTTCATTTTTGACATCAATCGGAAGATTATACCTTCTAGGCAGTGATGAGTTCTCCCCGATTGAGATAATATGGAAATAGGAAACCTCTATACATTCGGATTTTTTTTTGGAAAGTGTTCACCATAGGCTATTGCAAGCCATATAACACGGATCTTCGTGACATCCGCGGTCTGAGTTAGTAAATCAACAATGTTCATCAACACCTTCAATCTAATGAACCAGACTTATCGGTTTACTTATTGGCTATGTTTGGGACACAGGTTAATTCATTGATCAACACGACCTATAATCTTTGAAACCAACTGTGATGTTATTTGGTTCAACGTCGATACCCAAAAACATACCAAATATCTCTGTTCTCTCCACTTATAACCGAATAATCTATCCTATAAAAAACTTCCTCGTTTCTTGTCTCTGAAGCATCACCTGATGCTACAGAATATTCTAGCAAAAAAATCGTGTTTTTCTTTACGCAACACGTTACGTGAAGTAAGAATGTGGAATGAGCGTAATGTTCTGGAAGCCTCTGTTCAGCATCATCAAATCAAACAACAGCGCATTGGGGAAGAAGGTTCACCTTTGCAATATTCGGAATATATTGTTTTACGCAGGATTTTGATTCACGCACATTTCGATTCGCCAACATTTCGATTCGTCTACAGTTAAATTCAGTATTAGTCTGAACACATTCGAACGATGCGTTGCTGTCACAGATCGATGAATAGTTTCATGAAAATGGATTATTTGTTTTCGACTGTTTAAAAAAATTTAGTATGTTCATCCATGCACTGAAGACATTGTTCGTCCACATATTATGTCTTCAGGATTCGTAGATCCATAGAGGAAAATGATATAGCCTGGACGTTTGTTCCAGTCATTGTGGGCTTATGGATATATTGTTTTACACCTACATTCGGGAAGAATGCATCCTTCGGTTATTCTTGGAAACTGTGAGTTTATCGAAATGAAGGCTTAATGAAATGAAGGCCTTTTGAAATGTGATGAAGAAATCAAAATGTGGGTGAGCCGAAAGTTGGTTCGAACGCAGCGCAGTCGCAAAATGTATGTTGGGCGATTGAATTCCACACTGTTTGGCACACTGAAATCGATTTCTGTCATGCTATTTTCTGCATCCTATAACTCAACTAAAACGGCTGTTCATTTCGTTGCATCAAATGGATTCATTCTTTAATAATAAAACATCATCGCCAAACGGAAATAAATGATATTTTTAAAGAAAATTGGGTTCTCATACTACAAAGGTCATGATCCAATTAACTTATTTGGTATGTATTCAGTATGATCAAATTTTTTTATTTGAATATCATGAAACCAATGCTGAACATCAGTATATTCAATACACGCACACTACAACACCCTCGAATCAGAAGTACGCGGAGGCTGGTCCCCGATTCCACCAAAATGGGCGGCGATCCTATTATTTAAGTTCTTGTGGATAATTAGTTGAATCAACAAAATTCCAGATGAAACAAATGATTATTGTTTATTGAGAAATATCACAAAAATATACAGCGTTACTTTGCATCGTTTCCACCCTGCACGTTCGGCAATGCCATCCACTAACCTTTTTTTTTGTTTTCAATATCAGTAACTAGCGACATACGCCAGACTGTAAGCAATAATTCAAGCTCCCAGTTTTTTTTATACAACTTCACACACGCAGCGAATACCCTCTGTACTCGACTTTCATTTGGCGACCCCATCTACGTGTAGTGGAAGGTGTAATCTGGTGAGTTCTCATTCTGGTGAGTGTGAAATATACACAAAAAAAACGAGTAGTGGGCTAAGACTCCGATAAGTAATTCAGCAGATTCATTTAATTAATTACCTTTCTCGAGAATATCGAGTGACATGCTTCTTATTTCGAGAGAAAGGATAATTATGAAACATACTATTGACTCAAGTAACTACAGTTCTCAACACAATGAATGGACCACTCAAAATGTGTGCAGTTGAACCATTATACCATGATCTGCATTTGCGATGCTGCCGGAACTCAAGGAATTTTTTCTGATTGAAAGTAATTCATATAACATTGTTACTTCATCTCAAGACACTTTCGTGATTTCTCCTTGATTTCCCATTGTAACAAAAAAAAATATTAGTTTTCCAAAGACTTGTACTTATTTCTTGAAATGAACCTCCAGAACTCCACTCGAACTGAATATCAGTTGATTTGAATAGTTCAATGAAGGGGCTGTAGAAATCATGAAATGAAACAGTTTTCTTTGGTTATGTTCGGAGTAAATAGAAAGTAAAATTTTCAAAAGTCCATGAACTCAAAATGTAGGCCAGTCAAGAGCAGCGGGCAACGTAGAAGGTCCTTCTCTTCGATTGATCGTTATTCAATCTATCAAAAATTATAGCTGATAGAGTTGTCTAGAAAATTTGATTAGTAGGGTCGTTTTTTTTTTTATTGTTCTGAGGATATCAGTTAGCGAACCTTGTGAACTTCTTGAAATCGCTTACTTTCACTCGCTTATTTTGACGGCTCAACTTTCGGTTCTTTACCGGAGTATTCGACGTAGAAGTTGCGAACCATTGAATCACCTCCGAAATGTCACATGTATTTCGAATGAAAACACATTCACATACATTATCATATTCTAGTGTCCCACTTCTAATGGAAGTACCCCTGTATGTTTTAAAATCGTTGAGTAAGGTTCAGGATACTTGCAGGAGCGGAAGATATACCGAAAATACACACTACGACCAATTACAGTCATATTCTGCCACATCGGATGACATAACTGTCAAGAATTATAATTCAGACTGTTCATCCAAACTTTTTCGATGTACTATATGGCAGTAGGTGAAGTATAGTACGTAATGCGTGTTGTGAAGCAATTACGCACTCGCCGCTCCGAGGCTACGTGCGTAACTTTTCCATTCGTTTTCTATGCTTCTTACAACACATATCACGTAATATACTAATGAACTTCGTTATAAACAGCAATAATAGCCTCAATTCGGTCGATTTGATTTATTCCTGATCATCGAGGATCTCATAGTCGAATACAATTTTTTCAAAATGAAAAATACGCGAGGTGTGAAAAATAGAGAAAATTATATCGTCTTCCTATTGGAAAAGTGTCATTCAACAAAATCGTTCACTGCCTATGCTACGTTGTCTTTTACTATGCCCTTCAGATGATAATTTTGCAATATTTCAAATCATTGAGGTTGGCGTACCTACCCATTATGGAAAATCGATTCCATATTCAGATTCGACCCATGATATTCCATTTGTATTGCTCATAAACTCATCTCAGATTCGATATTCAGCACTTGAGCCACATTTTGCATGGAATGATCTATTATTACTCGGAAGATCGAAAGTAACATGTACTAATTCTTCTCTTATATAGTCTGAAATATTTATCATTCAAAATATACTCCAATCAGAATGAAATTTAATGTCTTCATTCCACATTATCATCAGCAATCCATGAAAGAGGGAGACAAGAGGTACTATCTTCTAGTCAGTCAAAAAGCATGATCAGAAAGACTGATTTCCTCGAAGATTTCGAAATTGATGATTGTGAACCGAAAATATAGACGATCTTATGATAAATCCTTCATCATTCCTCGAGAGCTATGTTCAGATCGAGATAAATTCAGAAGAGTTCGGCAGAATCGGCTTGCATAAAACAAAATGATGAATGGTATGAAGCATGCTATTAGTATTTTAAATGAACTAGGAACTGAATGCTTATTAACTCATTGAGTCTATGCTAGTGTTATTGATTCTGGTTACCTTGACAAGCTACAGACTCGGGTTCAGTTTTGTATCCCCAATCAACGATGCTAGGTTTGTTGAAATCGGATGTGATTCCCCAATGGATATCTTGACCGGAATCAAAGGGATGATTCATTACAGGTAAGTTCATACCAACAGGCGTCTCAGGTCCGGCTTCCAGCACGAGTATCTGAAATTAGTATAATACAAGGATAAAAATGTCTCATCGATGAAATTCAGTGTGGGATTGAAATTAAAGATGAAGCATCAATGTTTTCTTCATCAATCATTCAGATCGTAGTTCCGCATTCCATCTTAAGAACCTAATTCATCTCAAGAAATTTCCGCACACTGGTATCTGTTTGGAAATTGAATGCAGCTCAAAAACATATACTTTGTTTATTTGGAATGAGCACGGATTGCATTAGGTGAATTCGCATTGAAAACACACATCCCCACTTGGCTCACGATATCAGGTTTTGATGAAATTATCGAGAAATACAACGATGATATGGAAGAAAAATTCTCTCATTCGCTTCATGAGTGGAATCACACTCATTGGAGCAGATGGAGAAGTTATTCAATGATATCCCTGTTGTCCCTCGTTTTGTTGATTATTTCTCACTACACAAATAATAATGAAACGGGGGATGGCACATCCTAGAGAAATGAAGTTGATATTGGTGTGGGTTAGAAAATGATGAATTTCGGGTAATTCTTCCGAATCTAGATATATCTTCTCCATCATGGTCCAAAATTCGCAATACTCCTAAGGATTAATATTATGCATATTTCTGGAGAGAACACAGTGAATGATAGTGGATGTGTTTGCTAATCGCCGTCTGATTAAACGTCCTTGAACTATGATACAAAGAAAAAAGACACTGAAAGAATAAACAGAGGCTCGAAATATTTTGATCATGAGTTATTCAAATGATATTTGATCATGATGAGAAGTGATTTGATCATATTTGGAGAAAAAGAGTGGAGATAAGCAATTACTTCATTTCTCAATATTATATATACAGAGTGAGTCATAACTATTGGGACATGGGCTAAGGGCGGATTGTTTGGACCAAAATATGGCGATTGGGCCAAACATGCCTCAATAAAATATTGCTGTGTATGAAATATATCTGAAAAAGTTTTGTGATTTGGTTGCTTTCTGTCTAGATATCACAATTCATACCTTCTGGTTCCATCCCGCATTTATTTATTCATAAAATGATTGTGACGAGACATTTCAATCGAGAACATTTTGACTATAAACTCGTACCAAAATTCATTTCCTGACAAGGAATGCAATTACCAGCAACATTATCTGACAGTTCAAAGCACACTCTTTATGAATGAAATAATAATTGTAATTAATTTCTGAGACTCTGAAGTGTTCAATAGCGTTTTTCTAGAAAACGGATGGAAATATCGTGTTCGAACAGGAGTACCAATATAACGTAGAAATGATGTTCAGGTCATAATATTTCAATCAAAATCACTGAAAAGTTTCGTCAAAAAAAGTGACCAGGCAATTTAATCATCAGGAATTATTCACGTGGCGCCCCCTGAATCAAAATGTAGAAAAGTACATGAAATATTATTTCCTGTATAGATTATGCCTCTGTGGCAATTCTGATGAAAATTGATATAAATACAGTGGAATTATTGGAAAAAACGAAAATAAAAAGTCAACTTCAACGCCCTGTATCTTTTTCTACAGCAATATTCTATAGAGGCATATTTAGTCGTATTGCCATATTTTGGTCCAAACAATCCGCCCCTAGCCTATGTCCCAATAGTTATGACTCACCCTGTATATATATCGTATGTAGTGATTTCTTGCCTCACTTCCAGATGAACATTCTCCATTGAAATAAAACTTGTTTCATTGTGTTTCAATTCACAATATACCAAGCAGTAATTCATGGAATATAATGAATTATACCCAGCAAACATTGAACTAGCGGGAGAAGTCCGGCCTAGTGCAGGCTAGTCTGGGAAAGTGACGATGCCGGGGTATTGGTAATGGGCCGATGATTTTCCTATGCCAAGTAACCATCAGTTAAAAATACGATGATGGCCTTGTGATGGTAAGATGTCTGGAAATAATTGAATGCTTATGAGATCTGGCCCTTTGCTGGCCAATTTCATGTTCGCTACTCGTCCCCCTGGTGAAAGTTCTGGGAACTTCTACATCAACAATCAGCTGATCAATATTAAATGTGACTAAGATGGCTGACTGTCGTGAGTGGTGATCGCGTACTAGTTTGTTTATGTCGATGAATTATTGTGCTCCTCTCTTTCTCTGGTATTTATTTATGATGGCAGGAGTATTCTCAATTGATAATGATAGAAGACAGATTCTCCAATTATGATAATATTGTGTAGGTATATCAATCTACCTACATAGTGTTTCGAATTTCATTATTAAATGCATGTGTTTGGTATCTCGTAACCGCATATACCTAATGATCATAATAATTGGAGTGGGCTATACTTCTCCAAAAGCAACTATATCATTTTCGACTCGTTTGTTGCTATCAAAAGCAATTTGAGGTTATGTGAACCTATATATGTCTATATTAAAAAGAACTAAATAACAATAAGGTTTCAGCTACAAAAATACCTGTGCCAAGAAAATAATGAGAATTGAAAAGCTCCATGTTATATCATGTCATCAGACTATATTATCAAGATATAAACTCATGCAACTCATAGGCCACTTATTTAAACAAATGATGCATTTTATATTTCAGAAGAACCTCACAACGAAGGATCAACTTTGGAGGAATGCTACCCAATAAGATGTAGATACCACATACCAACCAGTAAGCAATCACTCCGAGAAGTTTCATCGTTGAAGAACAGAGAGGTTAAGAAGATATCATTGTGTCATTCATAAAATTGTTTTCTTGAAATCTGGTATGATGAGAAGGTTATATTGTGAAATAAAGAGTTACTAGAACTTTCAGATTCATTGGACCTCTAAAACCCCTACCTCTCCCCTACCTGGATAGTATGTATATCCAAGTCGATAATTGGCCATTACAGTCCCATCATTTATGTATATGCTGGGCTTGCTATGGAAAACTCAATGTGTCGATTATGTTGTACTGGCCTTTTGCTGGGGAACTGAATATGTTTGCTGGGTACCCAGCACTGGGACCAGCTGCCGGCCGCAGTGTACTGATATATAGAGTCCCGCATATGGGACCATTTACTGGGCCGCTGATGTCAGGTATGGGAAAAATATATTAGGCCACTGATGCCCCATATCAAAATGTTTGCTGGGTATCCACTCACTAGGCAACTTATAGATGGAAATTTGGAGGAGATAAAAATAGTCATATAATTTCATGAAGATAGTCCGTTCCGAGGTCCGTTCAAGCTCAAAAAACACCGAATGTTATACTTATTCAAGGAACGAAATAATTGTTTCAAGAATCAGACCTCTAGTAGAAAATCAATAGAATTCTAACTTTTACTTCTAGCTATAGTACTGTTTTGATAAATCAATGCACTTATTTTGCGAAGACTCGTCACCTTTGATAGGGTCTGGATGATGATAGTATCTAGATAACTAACGATGCGTGTTTTCCATTTCTATCGAAGCCGTCTTCGAGGCGTCGATGTTTGAACGATCGGTCGGTTCACCCATCCGTGGAATGACTGGGGACCTAAGATGTCATGACGACATATCTTGTTGCCGGCTTGGGTAGTTTGGAATGAGTATAATTCCGGAACAAGAAAAATCTACAGGCAAAATTCTTTAAGTGGAAGGAGAATTTGTAACATTCGCTTTCAGTTATCGTACTGTTTTCATAAATTATAAATTCATTCACTTACTCTGCGACTGCTCGTCACTTTTGATAGAGTCTGAATAATGACAGTACCAAGATTACTCACTTGTCTTCACTTCGAGAGTCATGATCTGATTCCTAGTGAACGAGCCTGTTTATCTCCAAAACTGCATCTATCTCGTTTGAATTAGACATAATCAGAAGCTGTATTGTGTTTTTCGAAAACACGGAACTCCACAGTGAGGTAAACATATCTTCCATTTCAGACAGGTCAACTTCAATTGGATCATTCATAAACTGAATGTTAATTTTACCTAGACTACTAGGTTGAATTATCTTCCAGTATTTTGAACAGTCGATCGATGGTTAATGGAGTGAAATGTCAGATATTTCACTCGATAGTATCGAAAAGCGAGTTCGCTTGGTGACAATGGTGCTCGCATAGTTCACATGTGAAGAAGCTTGGTGATTGAAGGAGGTCATTGTTCGGAATATTTGTCTTGCAGGGGCGATGGGCAGAATTGCTTCTGTGGTTGCTGAGAGATCGATGAGATCTGTAACTCTCAAGTCTATGGCAATGAGCAGTAAAATTGCTGTGAGCAAACCAATATTGATTTTTTTGTTGATTTCCTGAATGACGGATCAGATTTTACTTCCACTGTTCCTATGTAGGAGAATTTGAAGGTCTCGTTTGAGGTACATGTATCGCAAACTGTCTATTTTTATGAGATTTTGAAGACTTCAACTTTATCTTCGAGAAGGGAGGTTGGAAAAACCCTGTCTGAGTGAATGGGGTGAATTGGGTCGAAATGATTGATCAGTGAATTGATAGCTGGAATACTTTCCAGATTAGTATGGGTCAAATTCCGAATGGAATCCATAGTTTGGAATGTTGATGTGTGATTTCCCCTTCAGGACTGCCATATGGGAACACATTGTGAAAATTGTATATATTGCTGAATTTGAGTAATATTGCGTCCTTGGAAAAGTATGGTCTTTCAGAACACTGAATCCAACTTCCTGTGTCATATTTCTGTTCCAGGTTTTCGCACCAGGCTTCTGTGACCAGCTTTTTTGACCAGATTTCGATGACATTCTGGATTTTTATGTATGTTCCTACAGCTGTATTCTGTATTTGCAGCTGCTGAGCCAGACATTAAGAATGAGATTTGACCATGGGTTTCACGCAAGTATTTTATAATTTGGTTCTGCATATTGAAAAGGAATATTCTCAGAAATAGTTATGAACATATAATGGAAAGATGTATATATATAAAGAAATACATTGAGAATTCGCATTCTCGATGTGATCAAAATATCAATCATCTCTCGGTTTATTCAACAGAAATTAACTTCTGGTTCCTGGCTATATGCCACGACGAACATTGAATTA